TGCAAAGGAATCTGGAAAGATGCCGAGATGGGGGGGACAGCGCGGGGGTCGGTGCCACCACCAGCACCAGCGTATTTGGCGCAGTAGTAGGTGGCCGTGTCGTCGTCCCTGAGGCTGTTCATCTGCAGCGTGAGCGTGCTCCGGGAGTTGTCCCTGGAGATGGTGAAGCGCCCTTTGACAGCCGGCGCGTACTCTGTGTAACCACCATCGTTGGTAACACCCGTGACGTATTCGAGCCCCTTCCCAGGCGCCCGTCGCACCCAGTTCATGGCGTAGCTGGTGTAGTCAAAGCCGGAGGCCTCCAGGTAGGAGATGGCCCCACTGATCCCCTACCCATGAAAATTGATGAGCTTTGGAGCAAAATGGTCGAGATTATGGGCAAAAGGTTGAGGTTTGGGGCAAAATGCTCAAGGTTTGGGGCAAAACAGTTAAGTTTGGGGCAAAAACGGTTGAGGTTTGGGGCAAATAGTCAGGGTTTTGGGGCAAAACAATCAAGATTTTGGGAAAAAGGTCATGGTATGGGGCAAAATCAGTGGAGGTTTGGGGTAAAATTGTTGAGGTTTGGGACAAAACACTTGAGATTTGGGGCAAAACTGTTGAGATTTGGGGCAAATGGCTGAGGTTTGGGACAAACAGTTGAGGTTTGGGGAAAACCAATTGAAATTTGGGGAAAACTGTCAAGGTTTGGAACAAAACGGTTGAGGTTTGGGGCAAAACATTGAGATTTCGAGCAAAAGCATTTGAGATTTGGGGCAAATGGGACAGGATTTTGGGGCAAAACAGGAGAGGTCTGGGGAAAAAACATTTGAGATTTCAGGTAAAACGTTGAGGTTTGGGGCAAAAATGGTTGAGAATTGGGGCAAAACATTTGAGGTTTGTGGTAAAATGTTCAGGTCTGGGGAAAAAATGATTGAGGTTTGGGGCAAAGATTTGAGGTTCGGGGTAAACCTCTGGGACGGCTGTGGAGACCCTGGGCTGGGTACAGGGTTTTGGGGGAGATTTGCAGACTTTGCACCCCCAGCAGCTACGTCATGGTTTGGGCACGGCAGGCGCCGGGGAAGGGGCTCGAGTTCGTTGCAGAAATTACCAGAGATGGTAGCACCACAGAGTACGCGCCGGCTGTCAAAGGGCGCTTCACCATCTCCAGGGACAACTCCCGGAGCACGGTCACGCTGCAGATGAGCAGCCTCCGGGACGAGGACACGGCCACCTACTACTGCGCCAAAAGTGATGGTGGTGCTACTGGTGGCACTGACCCCAGCACCGTGCCCCAACATCCCCGCACTGGTCCCCAGATCCCAGCATCTTCCCCAAAACATGGTTGTGGTGGTGGCACCAACCCCAGCACCATGTCCCAACACCTCTGCCCTGGGTCCCCTCACCCCAGAATCTTCATCAAAAGCCTTTGCATGGAGCCAGGACTCCTTGCATAAAGCCAGAACCTCCCTGCACTCTTCCCCCAATTCCCAGCATCTCCACAAAATCCCTGCCCCCAACCCAGACCCCTGAATCCATCCCAGACCTGTGGATCCAGCCCAGAGCCCTGCCCCCAGCCTCCACCCTTCGCACCCAACCCAGGCCCTCGGCACCAAACCCAGACCCATTACCCCGAGCCCAGACCCTTGCTCGCTGCCCAAATCCTCGCCTCCTGAACCCGCTGGGTGCTGTCACCACCCCCCCTGCTCTGTTCCACCAATGCCACCACCACCGGGGGTGTCCGCACCCACTCCAGCCCCTCCCCGGGCGCTGCCGTGCCCAGCCCATGCCGTTGCTGCTGGAGGAGAAGCCGGAGCCCTGGCAGGACGTGGGGTGGGACAGGGCTCATCGGGCAGGGCAGGGCTCTGGGCTGGCTCTAAGGGTTTGGTCCCAGGACCAGGGGGCACCCAGTAGGGCTTGGGCTGGCTCCAATTGTTTGGGCTCGGGGTAGGGGGTTTTGTCTCCAAGCGGGGTGTAGGGGTCAGCGGGATGGAGCCGGCAGGGAGCAGGATTGGGTGCACAGGAGTGGGACTCGTTGCCCTGATCCCACACCCCGCACCCAGCCCAGACCCCTCCCCTCAGCCCGGACCCCTGCTCCCAGCCAGGATCCTTTCCCCCGAGCCTGCACCCCAGCACCGTGCCTCAACGCCCCTGCCCTGTGTCCCCAGATCCCAGCTTCTTTCTGAAGGTCTCCACCACCACTCCAAATACCCGCGACCCACTCCAGCCCCTTCCCGGGCGCCTGCCGTGCCCAAACCATGTAGTAGCTGCTGAAGGTGAAGCCGGAGGCCTGGCAGCGGAGGGTGAGGGACCCCCCGGGTTTCTGTTCACCCCCTCCGGACTCGACCAGCTGCACGGCCGCCCGCAGCCCTGGGGAGGGAGGAAGGACAGAATTCAGTCAACCGCTCCCGGCATCGCCCGCCCAAAATTCATCCGCGCCCGGGGAGGGGGTCAGCGGGGCCGGCTCCTACCTGGGAGGGCTGTTCCCCTGTAGCCCAGCGTCTTCCAAAACCCCTACCCCAGCCCAGACCCCTGCCCCCAGCCTACACCCTTGGATCCCCCAGGGCTGTGCGGCCGTGCAGCTGGTCGAGTCCGGAGGGGGCCTCCGGACACCCGGGGGGTCCCTCACCCTCCTCTGCCAGGCCTCCGGCTTCAGCTTCAGCAGCTTCAGCATGTTCTGGATCCGACAGGCGCCCGGGAAGGGGCCTGAGGTCGTCGTGGGTATTAACACCGGTGGTAGCACCACATACTACGCGCCGGCTGTCAAAGGGCGCTTCACCATCTCCAGGGACAACTCCCGGAGCACGGTCACGCTGCAGATGAGCAGCCTCAGGGACGACGACACGGCCACCTACTACTGCGCCCAGGAAGCTGGTGGCGGTGGTGGTGGCCCCGACACTTGTGGTGGGGGGAAGCCCAGGCCCTTGCACCCAACCTGGATGCTTTGCAGTGAGCCCAGACCCCGGCACCGTGCCCCAACATCCCCACACTGGGTCCCCAAATCTCCCCCAAACCCTGCGCCCAGCCCAGGGCCTCCACGGCCAACCCAGAGCCTTGCCCCAAACCTCAGCCTTTTGCCCCAAAGCTCAAACATTTTTGCTCCAAACCTTGATCGTTTCCCCAGATCTCGACCGTTTTGCCCCATAACTCCACAATTTGCCCCAAACCTTGACCATTTGCCACAAACCTCAACTTTTCCCCAAAATCTCAACCGTTGTGGCCCACATCTCGACTCGTTTTTCTTTCTTAAATCCATTATCCCGGTGGGGCTGCCCCCATCGCTGATGGGCTTGGCCTTGGCCAGAGACCAGCACAGGGAAAGCTTCTGGAAGCTTCTCACAGAGCCACCACTGTACCCTCTGCTACCAAAACCTCCCATGGAAACCCAGGGCACCTGGCAGGGCTGCGTCTTCACCTCCAGTGGCTCGGCAACGGGATGGGAGCAACGGGCACCCAGGAAGGGGCTGGAGTGGCTCCAGACATCGCTGGTGGTGGTGGCATTGGTGGTACAGAGCTGGGGACAGTGGTGGCAGGACCCAGCCAGTTGAGGAGCCGAGGATTTGGGCCCCATGGGGGGGGC